TACATTTTTAGGATTTAAACATATCCATAGACTTTGCTTAAGAGAGGATCTTATCCCTACCTTTAGAGAGTCTAGTTTCATTAGTATAACTTTCTTTGCTAAGATTAATAGAAGGATTCCTCTTAGAGTACAATCCCCATTTCCACCATTTGAACATATCACCTCTTATACATGGTATTTTGTTAATGTAGGTAATGAAATCTATCATAGAGACCCTCGTGATTTAAGGACAAATCTTTTTCAAAAGGGAGGGGATGATGGAATCATGCCTAGGAGGGCAAGAGGTGACACATTGAAGGATCTAAGAGAAATGGGCTAGACATGAAGATTTGGGCAAGTAAGAGCCCAATGGGCCCGGTGGGCTTAGAAAGCCCAAGTTGCTACTCACATGGGTCATACCCTGAGATACCCATTTTCTTCTATTTTGTATATGAAGTTAGATGAAATACATATAGAAGGGAGGGTTGAATATGTGTGTGTGTGAACAAAGGAATTTTAAAAACATTTTTGCAAGAAGGCTCTTTTTCGTCCAGTAAAATAATATTAGTAAATGCTAAACTAGAACGGTCTAGGATTGGTTTAACAAAATAATTTTGCGTCTGGGAGTTTTATCGTCTGCTTAGGCAAAATACTTCTTAAACGAAAATCGTTCTTTAAGATAACAAATTAAACAAGTGTGGTTTTCGTCTGAAGATAGTTTTAATAGACGATAAGCATTAGACGAAGATTTTAGTATATTAAACCAGAAAATGCGTTTGAAACATTAAAGCATAGTGTAAGTATTTTTATACTGGTTCACTCAAATTGAGCTACGTCAAGTCTCCTTCAAATGAAGGGCTCCACTAGATGTTCAATGAAGTACAAGTATTGTTTGTTCAGCCTCTTTAGGCTCGCGGTGAGTATTATAGACCACCTAGGTCACGACCACTCCTTGTTGGCTAACTTTACTCATTGGCTCTAGTATTCTTTAATCAGCCTCTTCAGGCTAGCAATGAGTATTCTAGACCACCCAGGTCACGACCACTCCTGGTCCCAAGTATTATCAACCTTTCCTGGCTCGTCAACTTCACTTGCTGACGCTAGTATTCTTTGATCAGCCACTTCTGGCTCTTAATGAGTGTTATCGACCACCTCCTGGCCCGCTAACTTCACCATTAGCGCTAGTATTATTTGATCAGCCACTTCTGGCTCTCAGTGAGTATTGTCGACCAACTCCTGGCCCGTTAACTTCACTCATTGACGCTAATATTCTTTGATCAGCCACTTTTGGCTCTTAGTGAGTATTCTTTAACAAGCCTTTCCAGGCTTTACAAGTATTCTTTCGCTAGCCTCTTCAGGCTTTACATATAATAACTAGACAGGTTTGGTTTGAGTGTTTGGGTTACTCTCACAGAGAGGATACACATGTTTGTACACTCACTAAGGTATGTAACCTTAGTTTTTACAACGATTGAGTGTTTGGTTTACTCTCACAGAGAGGATAAATAAGTTGAATACACTCACTAAGGTTCATGTTCCTAAGATGCACACACGGAACTTCTTAGTCTACAGAGATATTTATACTATGGTACATTTGACTCTATACGTTCTATCTCTGGTTTCGTTGCTTCATGGGCTTGATATCACTCTTCGTCTATTTTTTTTAAAGCCAACCTTTCAAGGTTTGTGGTAGTGATATATATATTGTCCCGTAGAATTTTCCCGTTGCAATTGTCTGTTGAAACAGATATAGTCGTTCATGACTAGTTTGATCTTTCACTCAAGATCTTGCATTAAATGTTGCTTCCTGTTTATAGACATTGCGTGAAGTTTTCTTTGCCTTGTTAGCAGCTATGTCTGTATTTAGCAGAGATCTAGGAACCTTTTTGTCCTTTTTTGGTCACGTAGCTGTAAAGTGTTGTCCTTATCTTAAAAAGTGATGTACTTTTTCTGACACATGCATGCTTTTGTTTTTGCGTGTTTTTCTTTTTCTTCTTTTATCACGCTATCATGTTGAGAGCATTTAAGTTATCGTAGATGATGCCTGATGGCATCCTTACTAGCATTGGTGGAGGGATGATGACCAATAAGAAGGAAGCCTTAACTCCTTGGATCAAGTTCTTCAAGTTTGATGTCTTTGATAGAGGAAAAGATGAAAATGGAGGTTGGCTAGAAGATGTTTGATGGAATGCTTGAGAGGTACTCTAGGGTTTTTACTCAAGGTGGAGATAGGCAGGGTTCTTGGCCGAAAATGACCAAGAGAGACTAAGGAAAATATAAAGGCACAAAAGGCTCACTCTATATTAATTTCCAAAGTATTTACATGGAGGCTAGCTTAGGGTATTTATAGAAGGAATGATGCATTTAGGGTTACATTTGAGAGTGCATGGCCAAGTAATGCGATCCAAATGCACTTCAAATGAAACCTAAATTAACCCTAGATGCTACTTGGTAGCCAAGGATCGAATCTTTGGGTTTGGTTAAGCTACATGTAGGTGCATGATAAGACCATGCAACCTAAGTTCCCTCCACAAGCCTTGCCAAGTCCAAAAATAAATCCAATGCCACCAAAAAAACATGTCTAGGTCTAGTTTCCAACCTTAATAAAATACCCTAGTTATAAAATAAAATCCTATAATCTAAGACACCCCATAATACAAGGGTAAAATGGGAAATACAAGTAAAAATAAATCCTATGGCTAAGACACCCCAAAATACAAGGGTAAAATAGGAAATACAAGAAAAATAAATCTTATGTCTAAGGTACCCAAGATATAAGGGTAAAATAGGAAATTAAAGACAAGGGAAAAAATAGGAATAAATCCTATACTAATAAAAACTTAAGAGTTAAGGCCCAAAAGTAGTCCCACTCCTCTCATGTTTTTCAAAACTAAACCATTCCTCTTGTCTCCTTCAATATATCACCTCTTGGTCTTCTTAGCCTTAGTGTGATTCCATTAATGCCTTAATTTGTCCTTTGAGACTTGATTCTTTAAGTGCTTGCGTGACAATCTTCATCTGCGTTTATTAGTCTTATGCGTCTCAATTTGTGATTTTCGCCTAAGTATTTAAGTTTAATGCTTTGACTTTCTTTTGATCTGGTCAATGTTACAGATGGACATACTTTGTTTTTATTTGAAATATCTTTCAGTCTGTGTTGTCCTTCGTCTTGTGCGTAGTTGACTTTCTTCTGATCTTTGACTCATGCTTCGTTTAATTTCTTATGTTGCACTGGAGGTTGTCTTTGACACACCTTCGTCTGATATTAGACTCATAATCGTCTGGTGCACATATTATACTTTGTCTATTCAGTTTTCTTGATTTGTCTGATTCTCATGATGTACCTTGCCTTAACTGTTCTTTTATCTAAGTTGACCATCTGGTTTCATCTGATGTTTTACCCATTTTTGTCTTGTCCTAGTTTTAGCCCTGTTTTGGCTTTTCATTTGATACTTCAAGGTTTTGACTTGTAGTAGGTCTTGTCTAGTGTTTGTTGAATGTTCTTCTGTTTTTGATCAGATCTTGATCTTGTTGTGATGGAGACCTCCCTTCCATGGATGAAATTGGCATCTTTATAGAGGGTCACCTTTGCCCAAGGATCTAGGCTCACCAAGGAAAAAAGATGGAGACGTTTTAGGGTGAATGGAGTTTTGGGCGTGAGGATGGGTGAAGGTTAGGCGTGTAGCGTGGATGCTTAAGATAGGTTGGCTCACTCCAAGATGAAGATGGAGGCCACTCTAGGTTTCTTACTCTCCAATGGTGGAGATAAGAGAAGGTTAGACAAATCAAACCTAGTGACTAAGGAAGAGATGTTGAGGCATAAAATGCTCACTCAATATCAATATATTCCAAAGTATTTACAAGGTGCATGGTTTAGGGTATTTATAGGGGAGGGAGCATCTAGGGCTGCATTTGGGAGTGTATGGCCGAAATTTGCATGCCAAATGCACTTCAAATGAAATCCAAATTAACCCTAGATGCTACTTGGTAGCCAATGATGGAATCTTAGGGTTTGGCTAAGCTACAACTAGGTGCATGATAAGACCATGCAACCTAGGTGCCCTCCACTTGGGCCTAAGCCTTTCCAAGTCCAAAACTAGATCAATGCTCACCAAAAAAATACGTCTAGGCCCTAAATAAATACCCTAGTCCAAAAAATAAAAATCTTATAATCTAAGGCACCTCTTAATACAAGGGTAAAATAGGAAATACAAGTGAAAATAAATCATATGACTAAAATACCCCAAAATACAAGGGTAAAATGGAAAATACAAGTAAAATAAATCCTGTCTAAGAGCATCTGCAATGGGGGTTGCTTATAAGCAACTCCCTGTGCCACATCACTACCACATCAACTCTGGCCCACTTTATGAGTTGTTTAAATTTTAGCAGAGTTGCTTGTAGAAGCAACTCTGCTAAAATTTAAGCAACCTATAAAGTGGGCCAGAGTTGATTTGGCAGTGATGTGGCACAGAGGGTCGCTTATAAGCAACCCCCATTGGAGATGCTCTAAGGTACCCAAAATACAAGGGTAAAAATAGTAAAAATAAAGACAAGGACAAAATAGACACAAAAGATAAATTCTATGTTAACAAGACTTAGGAGATAAATTCTATGCTAACATAATATATACTAAACTCTAAACCAATCAAGATCTTGCAACCTAGAATTTATTATGTGGATTTTCATGCCTTTTTTTGCATCATGATTATTAGGATGAGTTGCCACATGTCTTTCCTTGATTGTACCGGTAATTACCTTTTTTATCCCTCTTATTTCCTCATTTTTCTTAATAATTCTAATTACATTAGTTAGAGAGTCTTTAATATATACATGCATTTAAAAAAATACAAGATGAAGAAATATATAGAAGTTGATAGTGAAAAGATGACATACAGAGGGACGGTGTATTTCTATTAAATGCCTTTTTCAAAGAGTATTTAATATAAACATGTATTTAAAAAAGAAAATACGAGAGAAATAAATATAAATATTAGTTACCTAAATAAATCTGTTTTTGGCAACGAAGGAAAGTGTAGACGTGGATTTAGACGGCCTTTTCTCCCTCAACGAACGACCATTTCCAAGCCCAGCCCATCGCTAGTCTTCCTTTGTATTGTTAGGGTTTGGGGAATCTCCAACACCTTCTTCGTCTTGGATTCGAATTCAGATGGTTCAGCTGATGAAGAATTCTGCGAAGGCGGAAACGGCGTCGTGCGCTGACACCAATAACCCCATCAAGTTGGAGATCGTTGAGGACCCACTGGAAGAAGAGCATGGCCCTCTCAACAAGCGTTGCAAACCCTTTCCCTCTCCATCGCCTTTGCCTCACCCTCACCCTCAGGTCATTTCGTAACCTATCTTCCTTTCCACCGCTAGATCGCGTTTTTACTTCCTCCTTTATGCTCAATATGTGCTCTAACTCGCCTTCAAACATTTATTCTTCTCTCTTCCTTTTGTGTTCCCATTTCTCAGAGGCCGCATTAGAATCTCATCTGCATCGCCCAACTTTAATTTTCCAAATTGTAATGATTGTAGCATTTGGTTACAAATCATAGAACAAGCGCTTTGTTCACGAGAGAGGTTGGAAATTCGTCTTGTTTTTAACTTGTTATTCTTCCTGTGCTTGCACATCTTTCAGCAATGGAGTGCTTCCAGTGATGCTTCTGTCAGTTCCCCTTCGCATCTGAATATACTCGACGAGCCGAGCCCTTTGGGTTTGCGCCTCAGGAAGAGCCCTTCGCTGTTGGATTTGATTCAGATGAAGTTATCTCAAGGAAGTGCGCCACAAACCGAAGATTTAAGCTCTGGAATCAAAAGGGAGAGCAGGGGTGCTGCCGCTGCTGCTGTGTCGGACAAGCTTAAAGCTTCAAACTTCCCGGCTTCGCTTTTGCGGATTGGTTCGTGGGAGGTATGTTTGAGATACTTTGTTTGGAAAATCTATGTGTTTTCGTTGACTAGCTGAAGGTTCTCTTCGTGGCAGTATAAATCAAGATACGAGGGTGATTTGGTGGCCAAGTGTTACTTTGCGAAGCATAAGCTTGTTTGGGAAGTTCTTGAAGGCGGTCTAAAGAGTAAAATAGAGATTCAATGGTCTGATATCATGGCACTTAAAGCTCATTGTCCAGATAATGGGCCTAGCACGTTGACTGTTGTGGTAATTTAATTCGTTATATGCCTCTCTATTTTAGCTGCTTGAATAGTTCTTTAAGATTCATAGGTCTATTGTATAATTTCTGTGTTGCAGCTTGCTAGACAGCCTCTTTACTTCAGGGAGACTAATCCTCAGCCTAGAAAGCATACACTATGGCAGGCAACCGCTGATTTTACTGATGGACAGTCTAACAAACATAGGTATATTCTTTCACCATTTTTCTCTGATATGCGGATGTGGGCTCAGCTGTTAACTAGTTTGATGGTATTATTCATTTATCAAAAGTTGAGGTAGAGAATTATAGCATTTCAATATAATCATTCTTTAGAAAAGGGAGGTTAATTGCCATTGAACATTGTATTTTGTTGACTCCAGAGAAGTGATAGAACTTGTTATGTACATTTTGAAACATTTTTAATCTTTAATTTGAAAAGAAAAGTACATCTTGAATGAGGTTTTACCATGTGTTTAGGTCCTACTTACAAGGTTCTGATGTCTGAATACTTGATCTTATTATGGTTTTGTAGGTTGCATTTTTTGCAATGCCCACAAGGGCTGTTGGCCAAACATTTTGAAAAGCTTATCCAGTGTGATATGCGTCTTAATTTCTTAAGCCAACAGCCAGAGATAATTTTGGATTCACCACATTTTGACACACAACCTTCTAATTTTGAGGACCCAGACAACTCAAAAGATCGTGAACTGCTTCAAGTCAGTGGTAAAGGATCCTCCACATCTTGTTTTCACGACAGAGGATCACCTCAATCATCCCTTTCATCATCATTTAAGATTGAACACAACGATCCTCCTGGAATGACGTTGGATAGTCTCCCCCGAGATGCACCTTCACCCAGCTCAGGTGCTTATAAATTATAATAAGAACTTGCCTCATGCTCCCTTCTGTTTCATGTGTTAATTGAACAAATCCCTGCCTCAAAAGGAAACGTACATTTAGAGAGAAAACACACACTTTCATACATTGTACCACAGTTATTAGAATCTTATAATTCACAAATCTTAATCACCTACCTACTGATTTGTATCATTCAATGAATTTCAAATGATTTTGAATCTTATGAAACAAAATTTATTATCATTGTTACCAATCACATGATTCCACTATTCATTATCTTTTGTTTTCTACTTTTCTTTCACTAATCAGTGAAAAGGAGTTGAAGGAGCATTTATGAACTTATTCTATTAGATTATTACTCATTTTCAGTGCATGCATTCTATATGATTATTTCATTGCTTAGTTTCCATTCATCTAAACTAGAGGCTTCACAAACACATATATAACTAATAATTTGTTTAGTCTTACGGTTAAGCTGTTTTATCTACTTCTAGTTTAAAATTATTTCATTGAACACTATCATCTATATGATATATTTGAAGTTATTTTTTATTGTCTTTGAATCTTACTATCTGATACAAACATGGCACTGTTCTCATTGATTAGTATCATGGAAAATTTGTATTTGGTCCATGTCTATCTATTCCAATGGCATAATATTTGGATTTACTCAATTCACTTTCTGTCTATATACTTGGCTTTATCTTTGATTGATTGGTCATTTTTGTAGTTTATTTATTAGTCCATGTTTAGGGTGTTGTTAGATATCTGAAACTACTTTAATGTATTTGTCAGTCCCATGATTTATGTGGTGCTTTTTGGCTTAATTGTTTCATATGTTTTTTCTTTTACATACAAGTCATGGACTGTACTTCAATTGAAGGGAGTACAAGCTCTGAAACCGATTCCAAGGGCCCGAGAAATGGGGATCAGATGAAACTTCCTGGACTTCGACCTTCTATGTCAGTGAGTGATTTTATAGGCCAAATTGAACTTTGCCTGTCAGAGCAAATGACCTCCGGGAATCCACCCTTCTCTGATGGAGGATCGGAGTACAAGGAAGTCCTGGAAGACATTGCGCAGCATCTTCTTAATGACAATCAGGTTGCAGCAACATCTGATGAAAAATCGCTTATGTCTAGGGTGAATTCTCTCTGCTGTCTTCTACAGAAGGACCCTGTAACAGTGCAGAATTCGAATTATGCAGAAGATAGCACTGTTGAAGGACCTGTTGATGGAAAAGATGTCAAGCCTGCTGAGGAGGAATCAACGGACGCTTCTGGTGGCAAGCACGCACTAGGCATGTCTAGGAAAGACTCGTTTAGTGATTTGCTCCTCCAACTTCCTAGAATCGCATCTCTTCCAAAGTTTTTGTTTAACATATCAGAAGAGGATGGTGACAGTCATGCCAGATAGTAATTCTCATATATAGAATTTCAAATTGGGTAAGTATGGAGTACGGAGCTATCTAGCTGTGTCCAGCTGCATTATGTTATGTATTTGTAGACATGTGCAAGTTTAATTTCTACCCTGGGAACCACTGGGATTTGGAAAAGTTGTTTTAATGAAGAATCCTGGTAGAACCCATGTAAAAATTGTTAAGTAGATGTTTTAGCTCTGTATTTGTTTCCTTTTGGGTTTGATTTCTGGGTGTTGTGCACAGTTGTCTGCTTGTAAGTAAATCATGTGTTGCCTGATCAATTGGCTGATATGGGCAATATTTTCATGGCTTTGGAATACATAAGATCATGAGCTGTAGCTAATACTATCGAACTGGCAAGCTCAGTTTGTATATATTAATTTGATGATAAATTCGGAATAATCTCGTACGCCAGTCACATCAGTTTCTAACTTGATTTCTGTTTTAGGGTCAGTTTGGTTCAAAGGATGTGAGAGAGGGGAGGGATTTTAATAAAAGGGAGGAGAGGGAAGTGAATAAGAAATTGTTTGGTTGATAGAAGGGAGGGAAGGTAAATTTTTGTTTGGTTTGTAGGGA